GTGGACGACGCCCTGGCGACAGCGTGGGAGGCCGGCCTTGTGCCGCCGCTGCTGGCCCGCCCCGACTGGCCACGATCACTTTATCTGCTCTCCAAGCTATCAAGAAGCGCGTTGCGGAGAAGAAGATCAGCTCACCCGCCGAGATCAGAGACGGTATGCTGTCATCCACCTCTTTGTGTGTTGTCGTGCGGATGTGGTGGTGAAGTCGGCCCTGCTTGTTTTGGTTGTCTTGATGACACACGGGCATGTGTGCACCTGTTTGCGCACCTGTTTGTATGTGTGTGATGTTTGCGTTGATGTCACACAGCGCACAACACGTTTGCTTGTATCGTCGTTGTCACTGCCACTGCCACTGCCACTGTAATTATAGCTGCCTTTGCCATTGTGTCACAGTTACTGTCGTTGGCATTTGTATTGGTAGCCTCCACCACCATGGTCACGCATGCGACACATTCACGCTTGTTTTGACACCTCTCCGCCCTTCATGCGCGCTGATTGCACTGCTATGTGTGTGTGTGCGTGCAGAATTCTTCTTCACGACGCCACCCAGCAGCATCACCAAGCCCGAGAAGAACCCGTATCTCGTCTACTGGCCGGACAATGCCCAGTTCTTCACCGACATATGGCGAGAGCCACTCGCGAAACAGGTGCTGCAATGCAATGACGTCCGTCGCCGCTGCGCTGTGTGTGCTGGCAGTGCTGGTGGAACAGCGGTGCTGTGCTCATTTCTGTAAACGTGCGTGTGCGTGCATGTGTGTGTGCGAGCGAGAATATATGAGTGCGTGCGTGTGTGTATGTGCGAGCGAGAATATATGAGTGCGACTGTGTGTGCGTTTGTGCTTGTGTGTGTGTGTGTCATGTGCTTGGTGGCATTATCATCACCACCCATCACTACACGACGTGCCGCCATATGTGCACTCCTTCCCATGCCTCTCACCAACCGCTCGTCCCGCACGCCTTTGTGTCAACACACTCGTGTGTATGTGTGTGTGTGTGCGTGTGTGCGTGTGTGCATGCGTGCTTGTTTTCGCGTTTCCAGTTTGAGCTGAAGGCTGATGACATCACGCCGCAAGCAGTGATTGCAAAGATTCATGAAATCGAACAGCTGCTGGTCTCCAGCGCCGACCCACACCGCCCCCGCGAGGACCGAGTGACGCTTGACCTGCCACAAGGCAAGGACGTGGCGAAGACTGTTGTTGCCTGTGTTTGCACTGCTTTCAGTTTCAAGTGCACGTGCAGATACGTGTACTGGGCCTTGGAGCGTTTATCAGCGTCGTCATCATCATGTGGTGTTTGGTCGTGTATTGCCGATGTGTGCGCAAGCGCACATGAGGGGTTGTGATGTGAGATGTGATTGTGACACCATCGTGCAATGCGTGCACGTTTGCATCTCACCCCTGCCAACACACACACACACACACACACACACACACACACACACACACACACACACACACACACACACACACACACACACACACACACACACACACACACACACACACACCGCGCGCTCGCAGGTTTGCCTTCACCAAAACTGCTGACAACAGGATGGGCCAACGAAGCGGAGATGCGCCCCGATATCGCTCAGCACCTTAACGGCATGGCTTTGCGCCTCGGAGCCTGGGTCACGTTCAATAGTGCGATCCCAATCATGACGTACGTTGTGCGGTGCATGTTGTGCCCAGTCGTTGGAGGGGTGGGGAGTGGGTGTTTGCTGTATCCTTGTTTCCGCTCTCTCGCGTGCCCTGTGCTGCTTGTGGTGCTGCGAGTGCCGACTTCTTACAGGGAACCTGCCCATGCTCTTGTCGCGCTTGCCGCCTTGCGTTGGCCAGGTTCAAGCCAGGCACCCGCCCCAAAATAGACATTGTGATGGTGGATGGTCGCACAAACACAAAAGCGGCCGTATTTGAACTCACGCTAGGCGAGGATGCTGACTCGCTTGGCCAGTTGGCAGCGTACGCACACCACGCGATTGTGGCGAACGTGCTTTGCATTGCAGGCGAGCACGTGCCTCTGGAGAAGCTGCCCCTGCTCGCTGGGCTGGCGATGTTTGGGCTGCGTGTCAGCCCGGTGCAGACCACCGTTGTTGAGTTTATGGTGGCCAACGCCGGTGGAGTCGTGAAGGTGGTTGCCAACAACATCATTTCCATTCCAACGAAGAACATTGGGCAGGCTGCTATGGCCATTTCCTGCTACTCAAAGTATTTGCACGCGAAGTACGCCCACGCCATCAAGCAGAACACTGAGCATGGCAGCGACTTTGCGCTGAATGTCATGAAGCCCCATGTGCTGCACTTCAACCCCGACAGCGGCAAAGGTGTGTTGTTTGCTGTTTGCTTGTCTGCGTCTGTATGTGCGTGTGTGTGTATGCATGTGTGGGTGTGTGCATGTGTGTGTGTGTGTGCATGCATGCGCCTGTATGTGTATATGTGTGTGCATGTGTGCGTGTGCATGCGCCTGTCTCTCCGCCCCCCTCTTTCCCTGCCTCTGTCTGTGTGTGTGTGGTTGAAAGGCGGCCGCTGTGCAGCGTTGTATGCACCATTGCGGCTGTGTTTGTGCTCGTGTGTGGTGTGATTCACATGATGCTGGTTGTGCTTATCGCTGTGCTGTCAGCAGAGGCACCGAAAGTGCTCAGTTCCGTCGCCAACAAAGGAAGCGGATACGTGTGCAAGTTCATCAAGACTGGGCACCGTGCTGGCGACTTGCGTGCTGAAGAGATTGAAAACATGTGGAAGTATGTCAACGGGCAAGGCGCTTGCAGTCGCATCCCCGCCACCAACAGCAAGAGCAGCACCACGAACACCACCAGCAGCAACATCATCAGCAGCAGTGGCAACGGCACGCAGATGATTGCGGTGCCCCACCTCGGGTCGACCCGCGCTCACATTCACGAAAAGCACGTCGTGCAGCTCTGCAACAGCTTGTTTCTCCTGTCAGCCGCTGGTCTCGTTCACCATGACATTCGCTGCGCCAACGTGGTCGTGAGCGGCGACAAAGCCTCTCTGATCGACTTCGAACTGGCTGGCTGCGACGCCGATGTCATGAAGGCGGCCAAATGCGAGCCGGCTGAGGTTGCTCTTCGCACGGACCTGCCTGAGCGGTCAGCACGCATCCGTGCAGCTGGTGACGAGCGAGTGAAACGCCACATCGAGGATGACTGGATTGCCATGTTCTACGTGTGCACTCTCCGATCTGCGCTCTACAAGAGAGCACCGCAGATGGCACATAGGGCAACCAAGGAGGCCATGCTGGCCGCGTTGAAACAGCTCGACCACCGCCAGCAGCAGCAAGGGGAGGGGAAGCAAGGGGAGAAGGAGGAGGAGGGTCATGTGGTGCTGGTCGGGATGAACCCGAAGCTCCCGCAGTCGTGTGATTTGCTGGGCCGCATCAAGAACATCATCGAGGAGATCCCGCTGTACGACTGAGCTCGACGTGACCGCGCGCTTGGGAGACAGGGAGCCATGTGCTCGTGTGTGTGTGTGTGTGTGCTCGTGTGTGTGTGTGTGTGCATGTGTGTGCATGTACGTGATTCATTGTAATTGCGCGGGGAGTGCATGTCTACACGTGTAAGGGAGGGGGAGAGAGAGGGGGGGGGGGAAAGACGTGTGGAGGACAGTGTGTTTGCTTTGCGTGCATGCGCATGTGCACACGATGCTGTTCTTTGCTTGCTTTGCTTTGCTTTGCTTTGCTTTGCTTTCTTACACGTCCATATGTGTCTGCAATACACTGCATAAGCTACAGTGATGTATGTGATCACGAATAGCGCTTTGCGGTGAACAGAGCACAGAAATGGAATGTGCGTGTGTGGATGTGAGGGATGTGTGTGCGTGTGCGTGCGTGCATGTTTGGAAGACTGTTATATTGACTGTGAGTCTGCCGTTCTGCGTTGTCGCGTTAGCGCGTTGTTGTTGTTGTTGATGATGGGAGGAGAAGTGAACAACCGCTCGACCACGCTGATGTTCGGCGTCACTTGTGTCTGACAAGGGAATGGTCGTGAGGGTCCTAGGGTCGTCGGTGGGCGATTGAGGGGTTGGTTGTGTTTGTGGGAGGTGGGAAGGTGTATGTGCTGTGTGTGTGTGTGTCGCGTGTCATGCTGAGAGGAGTCACGGCAACATTGCAGACACTGAGAACACTGCAACAGGGCGACAACGAGGAGCAGCTTTTCTGGTCTGGTTTTTCACAAGTTTTCCAACAAACGCCTTGCACTTTGCTTCGTATGTGAATCACGTCACATCTCACATCAAATCACGACGAAGAACGATGTGGTCGGCAACTGCGACAACCAGGACGAGGGCCAGTGGTGATGGTGGACCGGCGAGGTTGTTATTAGTTGGTGTGGTCATGGTCGTGGGCGCGATCAGTCTAAGCGCCAGCGGTGTGGGCGTTGCTGCAGGCAAGCCCAAGACGCCTGCCGAGATTTGTGCCCCCATGACGACTCACCCAGAGCGCGTTAACCAAACCCAGCGTGCGCTTCGACCGTTTTGGCTTCATGTGCCAAAGTGCGGCACCACCTTCTCCGTCACCATGGGCCAGGTGCACTGTCCCGAGGCGCGAATCACGGAGCCCGTCATCAGCACCAACAAAATCCTGAAGACCCCCGCGTGCAAGAACAGGTTCGCTCGCCTAACGGACCCGCATGACGGCCTCGTGCTGTCGGAAACCAAGCGCATGGTGGTCATGCTGCGTGACCCGCTGGACCGCGTCATCTCGGGCTACCTGCACAAGTTCCACGACTGCAAGTCAATGCAACTCAAGTACTGTGGTGCAGCATACTGGGACAGGTGCAACACTCCACCGCCACAGGTTTTGAACAGCAACCCCGACACGGTATTACAATACGCCAAGTGCGTCCAGGGCTTGGCCACGCACATGCTGAATGGGCACCACTCCCGCGACCGCAACTTCCAGGCGCCGACGCCACACGAAGTCCTGGCTGCTGCGAAGCGGTTGCAGGAGGCAGCGTTTGTTGGCATCCAGGAAGAGTGGAACAAGAGCGT